CTAGGCTAGAATGTTTGGCAGTTATTACCAAAGTTTTTTTTATAAATACATATAATAAGAATCAATAGAATATTATGTTTGTGCCTAATATTACAGTCGGGCCGATGTGGTGTAAACAGTGCGATGGTTGTCAACTACATAAGCATTTCACAAATTATTATTCATACCTATGTTAATAAAATATGTTATCATTATAATCACTCACCAGGTCTAAAATAATTGTATCAAAATCCCATTCGCCGCCAAATTTTGTAAAGAACTGCTTATGAATTTCAAACAGATTTTCGTCAATCATTTTAAATGTTTCCATCTTAAGGATCGTTGTATTGTTTGAATCCTAATAAGACATTAAATAATATTTAATTATAGTTGTATTCAATTGCAACCAATCTATAAATCATACCAAAACTACAGCCCAGTATCGATGATCATTATTATAAGCAATGAGTGAACGCAAAGCTATTATCTCGCGGTAACCGGTCTTCAAGAGGGACATCCGGTCCTCATCGCAGATACCGGTGAATGCACTCAAATGTCTGCACATCAGCGCAAGCCGTCTGATCTCCTGTTCCCATTTCACTGCCATAGTGTGTCGCACCTCTGGATGTTTAGTGGCCAGACATGTTATTTTGCTGACCGGATCCCTGATCTTTTGGGTCGCATTCAGCAGTTCTGCCGAACGATTCATTTCTATTTCATTCAAACACTTGTCGTATGTATTGATTTCATTGATTATTGAAACGACGGGCATCTCCTCATCAAACCATTTCTCTATTTCATTAAATTTCAGCCTATTTTGTAAATTATCTGCAGAATCGTTGTTCACTTTCATTTATTGAAATGTCATTTATATCTGAATCCGATTGTGTTTGCGATGATGTATTTGACGAGTGAATGGCATTCAACTCATTATTGACTTTAGTTTTAGACCGATTTTCTTCGACAATAGCCTTTCGTTTGCGTTTTTGCTCATCAGACAAGATATAAGCCTTTAATGATCATTATATTTATATTACAATATGAAATACTAATCGTAAGTTTTAATAAACTTATTAAAAGATAAATAATACTTTATTCATTCCGACGGCAAAACACTTCGTTAATCGACATTTGCGACAAAATTTTCGCTTTAAGGCATCGATTTTACATTTGCCACCAAAATGACACACAAATGCCTAGACATAATTACAATTTAAATTTTATCAATGAATCTCAAAAGTGCTATAATATACATTCAATCTAAAATTATACAATTATACAATGTATATTATACTGTACATATGTTATATATTTATAACATTAAATTTATAAATACAGTATTTATAATTAACTTGCAATTATTTCAGCGTATAGGGATTCAAGCCTTGGATTATTAGTTAGGGCCGCAATAACATTGCTATTAATAATCATATTAAGGGTCGTCAAATATAATTCATTCAAACAATTCATTAATCGCAAGTATCGGGTCTCGGATTCACTCTTAGAGTTGTGTTTTAACTCCAAATAGCGTTGAAGTAAATACATGTAAGTCTTCTGTTGTAGTCTATTATTAAAACAAATTTATGAAAAATTAATTATTAAATTAATCTAGTACATTCATTACTATTGCCTACAAGTTATAGACTACAACTCACTTAATGATCTCTTTATGTTTCAAATTGGGTCGATTGGGATTGAAGAGTATGATTGCCATTAACTATACAAATAAAGTGTTGTTTAATGAAACAAACATTTCATTGTTAACTTAATCTTTAAATACCAAATCAATGAGATTCATATCGGAATCGTATTCCCCTTTAATTGTAATCATAAACTGCTTGAGTATGACATTGAAGTTCAAGTTCTCCCACCTGAATACATTTAATGGTAACATAACGCCATTCTCGGAGTCCTATTTATAATTAAATATATTATTGTCATATTACTTAAAACATTCAAACATGACATACAATGGCAACCGTCCAGAACTCACCCTCAAAATTAAAGGTGGTCACAGAAAACAAGCAAATAATCTCAGGACACGAGGCCTTCAGTAAAATGATTTTGTCGTCTTCACACAACTCTTTGAATTGAGCCATAGTTTTACACATTTGTATAATTTTTTGGCATTTGATGTCTGATCGCGTTTGCAGTACATTGAAAGCATCGGTATATGTGTCGGCTTTTGATGTTTTCTTCACGACTGGATCTCTCATATAAGCGGTTGATGTGAATAAATGTCTCAATCTATTTGCCTCCAACTCATTGAAATTAAATATAATATTTCTTATTACAGAAGCCATCGGATCAACTTCAGTCTGATTGCTGTTAAATGTACTTAAAATTGTGGATTGATTTGAATAACTACTATCCGTAATATCAGTTGAATAACAATCAATAGTTGTTGTTTTGCTTTGTCTTTTGTTTTCCTTAAAATATGTTAATATAATATATGGACTTTTAATTATCAATTATTTAATACTATAACAATAAGATATAATATAATATATATTATAACTTATAAGCAACAAATAACTCACTTTTCTCATTCCCATTGCAAAGCATTTCTCGATTCTACACTTTTTACAGAATTTTCGTGTCAATTGGTTTACCATACATTTGTTATTGAAAAAGCACACATATTCCTAGTAATGAAATATTTAAATTCAATTTTCTTATTAACTTTATTTTACTTATATTTTACAATACCTGAGCTCTGGTGGCACTCCTCCTAAAGAAGGTTCGGCACGATTCACAGGTCATGACACCGAAGTTAAGGCCTAATAATAATTTATTATTTTATTTAATTATTTCTATATTTTATATTAAATCTCACCTGATGATTGGTCACCACATACACCACAAAATTTTGTATTCATAATAATATTGTTTACTATAACTTAAAATAAAAATCATTAACATTAATATAGTAGAAATAGATTACTTTACATAAACCTTTATCAAAGTTTACAATAAACACTCAATATTTAATTAATTTGCCAAATATTGGTACAAATTGTATTACATTAAACATTAACCACTTATTTGTAATTGAAAATCCAAAAACCTGTTATTAAATAATAGACAGTTATATTGATAACTATTTTCTTTTAAAATTTTAGACAAGAGTATATTTCAAGAACTTTGTGATTTCCCTTTTTTATTAAGCATGTCGAAATACGTAATCATTATTTCATTGTGTGTGCTGTCAAACGATTTATTTTACTGCAAAATGTATTTTTCAAAATAATTTCTTTTGGAAATTTGTCAAAATTCAAGTACGTTTTAAAAATAAAATTATGTGCAAATTGAGTAGCGTATATTTTATAATATATAAATATTATTTTATTTTTATAATTGTACAAGTATATTTTTAAAAAAGATGTTTGAAGTTTTTGCTAACAACTTCATAGATAAAGTGTTTGACAAAAGGGTGCGTAGTCGTTTATTTAGTTTTAAAAATCGTAGAATTGAGCTAGAACAAAATAAAATTTTTTGCAACTATTGTTTTTTGGCACCAATCTATCGGTATGCCCAATTTTATCCAGACATAAGGGGAACGGTAGATATGCCTGTCCATCAATAACTCAAAAACTATAAGATGTAGATAAATTTTAATTTTTGGAAATTGTGCGCAGTGTCAATATGAAAAAACTAATTTCTGGATTTTGAGAAATTTTGTCTTATTGAATTTTAAAAATTCTTTATTTGTGAAATTGTGATGATTTGAAATTCGTTAATCTCAGCAACGGCTCAATGGATCGGGGTGATCTCAACTTTGTTCGAATTGTCTTTTAATATACTAAAGATTATTTGCTGGCACCGATCCTGTATATCGTGCACAGAATTTTCTAGGTTAAAAA